CTGGATGCAATGCGTGGCGGTCTAGCGCTGGACGGCTGGTCTTGGAGGGGCGCGCGGGCGCGGGATAGCCGAGCGACGTGGATGCGGAGTGTACGGGCGGAGGTACGGCCTAGTTGGCGGTCCCCGAGGGTGGCCCGAGCCACTCAGCCCGGTGGGCTTCTGGCGCATTGCGCACTATACGACGTTGGACAATGGTTACACCCGGAGGGCGAATACCCTACCCGACGGAGCACCGACGAGTTGGAAGTTCGAGGATGTGGAGGCGGGCCGTAGGTGGATGCGCGCGGTCATCTTGATTTTCTCTTGCAATGTACAGTCTCTTGGCCCGTCATTTTCGATTCTCATACACCCTATCCACTCACACGATACCTATCTTAAACCCTCAGTCTAGTGCTCATAGTGTAAGATCACCTTTTTGCGTTCGTTTTATCTTAGTCTTGCAACGCGTTTGCGAGTGCGCGCGCGTTTTATTCCATTTTCTTTGCTTCTGACGATGTGCGGACAGGTGTTGCCAGCACTGTACGGGCTATCATAACTTGCTGATGGTAGGAGGTGTTGCTGATGACCCGTAGAGTAGGCGCTGCGCGCCCTGCAAGTAGGCCCACTTATATATTCGGATATCCGATACGTGGGTAAGCCGAACCGCAAGGAAACAACCAATGCGCAGGTGGAACCGGCTCTAGTTCCAACTGTACGTGCTATGCAGTCCATATAGTACGAGCTTTCCAAGTGAGTCCAGCTGGAGGAAGCGCCCAATTGTACACGACCACATCCCCGACCTCACCTACTCTACCCCCGATAATACACCCCTCTGCGCTTAGCAAGGCCCGCCCCTGTGCGCCCGGTGCCACAGCTCACTACAGCCAGTACGCATACGCGGGCGAGCCGGGTTTCGCGCGTACTCCGCCAGGCCGAGATCAACAGGCCTACTGCTGACAGTACCTTTGACATACGATGACGACATGATGTAATAATCCCAAAAATACTGCCTCGCTTTCTCCACACGCGCCCTCCCTTGCCCTCTACATACCATAACGAGCACAGCGCATACATATACTTCTCCTCCCTTAAACATAACGAGAGGAGGGGGGAGAGGAGGTGTGGGTGGGCGGAAAGGACGACGCGGTCGATAAAGGAGTAGTACTGGGTGAGATCACCTGACCGCGTGGGTCCGCACGGTTGGGACCGACGAATAAATAATGGAAAAATGGGGCGCCGGGACGCTTAAATCCGTAAATGTAAATCATCAGCCTTACGCGCTGGCGTACCTTCGTACCCGTACCACCACCACGCGGCCCCCCTCCGTCCCGCTCCCTCTTGCTCCTCGCCTCTGCTCGGTCTTGAAGACTCGACGTGAAGCTGTTTGAGTCGTTGGGCTGTTGAAACTGTGTCGAACGTAGGCCTTTTCGGCGTAGGCTGCGCTGTTTGTGTGACAAAGCATACGTGTTGTTTTATCAAAGGGCGATACTCCCTTCCTACGACCTCAAGAGTATTCTGAATGTCTACGTCTACTTCTTCTCCCCCACCGACGGCCGGTGACACGGCACCCGCGTCCGTCTCCGGCGCCACTCCGCTTGAACCGACTCAAAATCCGAACGCGCACCACAGCACGCACCCGGCCTCGGCAGCCACATCCACCTCATCGGCCAGCCCCGCGCCGTCCTCGTCGCTCGCGACGACGCCCGCGCCCGACACGGCGCACGCTACAATGCCATCCGCGCCGCTCGCGCCGTACGCGCCGGTCCAGCCGCCGAGCATCTGCGGGGTGTGTCATCAGGAGGTCAACCAGCCGGGGTACAGGACGTGCGTGCGGTGCCGCATGAAGCGCAACGCGGCGCGCAAGAGACGTATCGAGCAGCGCAAGCTCGAGTCCAACGCGAATGCGAATGGGAACGCGAATGGAAATGGGGATGTGCCGGGGACGGGAGCCAGTACGCCGTTGAAGGGGTTGAGGCTGGAAGAGGAGGGCACGACGACGGACGGGAGCGTGGCGAGCGAGGGGGACGTTGCGATGGAGCAGGAGCAGGAGGAGGGGAGCGAGGCTATGGAGCCGGACCCGGAGCCGGAGGAAGAGGAGGAGGAAGACGTCGAGACGTCGGCTTGGGACAGGAAACGCGCGACGCTGCTTGCGGCGAGTGCTGAGCTCGGCACGGCCGTGGCCACGCACCAGGCTGTGGCTGCCACCGACGCGGAGATCGGCGCCGGGGCCGCTGCGGCTGCCACCGAAGCCGAAGCCGAGGCCGAACAGGAACAGGACGAGCTGGACGAGCTGGACGACGACGACGTGGAGATGAAAGACGACCGCGCGCTGTCGCCGCCTACACCTCTGCCGGAGGCCCCTGCTCCGCCCCCTGCCCCTGCCCCGCGTCCCCCGCTCGACGTCGCCCGTCTCGACGCAGAATTCGAAGCACGACAGCGCGCGCTCCTCCAAGCCCGCACCTCATCCGCCTCCGTCCCCCCACCAACATACATCCCGCCCCCAGCCGCATCGGCCTCCGCACCGGCACCCGTGCCCGCGGTCCCGCAGCGCTTCGACGGCCCGCCCTGCACGGTGTGCAAAGGGCCGCGCGACAACGCAAAGTACAAAACGTGCGCGACGTGCCGCGCGCGCTCGCGCGAGTCCTGGCGCCGCCAGAGCGCAAAACGCAAGGCGCTCGCGGCGACGGGCGGCCAGCCGACGCCCGCGAGCAGCGCGCGTCCGACGCCCACCACGAGCCGCGCGAACTCGCCTGTCTCTACCTCTGCTCTCGCTTCTTCTGCTCCTCCTATGGCCGTACCGAACGCGCCGATGATGGCGCCGAACTTAAATGCGGGGCCGATGATGGCGCCGATACCGGTGTACGACCCGCCGCCGCCTGACCCGGGCGCGCCCATACCGGGAGGGACCATTATCAGCGGCATGGGCCACCCCGCGCTCCCCGGGCCACCGTCGATCCCGATGCTCGCGCCCATACCCATCTCGAGCGCGCCGACGCCCCCCGTCGACCCCGAGAAACAGCGCCGGCTGTGCTCGTCGTGCCGCAGCGCGCTGGCACCCCCTCGGTATCGGACGTGCGAGCACTGTCGCTGGATCGCGCGGCGCGACGCGGCGGCGCAGAGCGGGCAGCCGTTCACGGAGAGCGAGCCGCCGACGAGCAGGCTGGGCGCGCGGAGAGGAAGGAAGAGGCTGAATCCGGCTGAGCCGAGGGTCGAGCGGCCGGGCAAGAAGAGGAGGGTGCTGTTTGAGGTTGATGAGGACGAGTATACGTTTGAGGGGGAGGCGCTGGATGTTGTGCGGGGTGTGGTTTTGGGTTCGCAGGGGGGAGGAGGGGAGGGGCCGGGGG